TAAAAAACAAAATGTTTTTTGCTTTGTGTTTTCTTTATTTTTTTATTCCAAAGTATACAATAAAGTTGTTGAAATAATACACCTTGCTCAGAAAAGAGCAAATCAGGGAAAGATACCTGAAGAGTTTAAAGCATTTTCAAACAGAGAACTTTAGTATCAGCAATGGCTGGACACTGCTGAATAACTGCAACTTCTACAAAAGACATTCAAATTTACTGTGCCAACATCCAGCATCTAGGGGATAAACAGAGCAAACCAAAATAAATGCAGCAGAAAGCTTTAGCCAACCATGTAAGAAGCTAAACTGAGGTTCTAATAACATTCATTTTAGCAAAAGAGAAAATATGTTTCCTTAAAAGTCTGGACTTCAGGACCAAATCTGTTTGGGTGACTGACTTCAAAAGAAATCCTAAGGAAACTCCGAAGTGTGCACAGACGCATGTTCCTTTTAAACATTACCAGTAGCAACAAGGGATAACACACATAAAAATGAGATTCTCTTGAAAAATCATTATGCCTTAAATATATGCACTGAGAATATAAATTAAACTCAAAATGAAAGAAGTGGCTGCACATATAGACATGATACAAATGGCTACTCCAAATTTTGTTTAATCTCATTTACTTAAAACCACACGTGTGTGTTAAGCCAGCAAAAGGTAAAATAAACTTCCTTAAAAGCTAGTAACCTTTCTATCACAGATACACTTGCAGAAATAACACCTACCTTAACGATTCCATCTATGTAACAAACTTCTTAAATTAACAGCCAAAAGATACCAGCCTAGAGAACTATCTGCCTGAGGACAGACAGATGCAGACAAAGCCAGTAGCACAGAGGCCCCAGTCACACAAAAGCTGATATTGTTCTCCCGCTGAGCAAAAATCTCCCTTGTAAATGGAACGACATCTGCATTCAGAATCACCCTCAGAAAGCATCCCTGGAGAGGAGACCAAACTGCTTGACTCAACAGGGGAATGATTTCTCTTGTCTCCTTCAATGTAGGCAGCTGCATGAAACAGCAGCTTCTGGTTTTGCATTTTAGCAAACCTTCCTTCCTTTGATGCACAGATAGAGATGAAACATAATGTGTGAAGATCTCCCTCATTAGGCACAGCCTTGAAGCCCGCTATACTTTTCAAAACAAATAATCATTAAAATCTTTTGTCATGATACAGAACAACAAATGCCTCCAAAATTAGTAACCTTTTCACATTTCTTTCCAACTTCTTTATCAGTACTGCTGACATAAGTCAGCAATGTCTCCCAGGAACTCTTTCATGACAGTCAATAAAAAAATAATTTAATTCAAGCATTTGATAAGGCTTCTAAAAATCTGTCAGGGGTAATAAAAAACCTGCTTCACTACTTAAATTTAACTCTGTTTTTCCATAAAGTTATTTATATACTTTACTACATTCTTTATCATCTAAATTGGATACCAGAATGAAACAGTCTATAAAGCTTTACATAGTCATAGACCCAGACAGTTCTAAGTCACACACAGGAATGTCCTACATCATTCACCAAAATTTTGATCATCACATTCCTGACAAAGAAAAAAAAATAAAACCCACCCCAAATTAGTCTTTTATTTTACAAGAAAGACCAATTACTAACCAATAAATTTTTTAAGATAGTATTTCTAAATGGTTGTTTCTAGAAGGGCCTTTACTCTCCTCATTAAACAAAATTAAGTTTTTAATAATGAATTGTGTAACTTCTGTGCACAAATAAACCACTCAACACAATAGCAGGATTCTGTACAATGAAGAAAAAGACACACAATGAAACTATTCAATAAGCCTACATCAGGATATGCTGCTGTATTGCAGGATTTGGCCCAGAGTGAATATAAACTACTCTCTAAGTAGCTGGCATCTTTTTTCCCCTTGTTTTGAACAGCTTTGGCACTCAAGTAAACCGGAAGAGAGTCTTAAGACAGCAATCACAAGAGACATACAGAAACGAATCAACGAAAAACAATCAATGGGATGATGCCTTCTATGGCCTTCAGAGGTGCCTGTCCTCATAACACCTAAGTTAATGAATTACTGAGAAAGAAGACTTTTATTTTGTGATCTGAAAAAAACCCAACACGTGGGTAAACCTGCACCCTTAAAATAAAGACTGCCCTTTCTCATTTAGCCTTCAGAAAAAGTGTTAGTTCAGAAGCAAAATAAGGTATTTCGGTAGCAGGCATGATCTACCCTCATGTGCCTAATCTAAAAATAAGGAGAACTCCTGAGAATGAGTAGGAACATGAGAACAAATTTAACTGTGGAAAACGGCCACGGAAGAGGAACAGTAGTTTAATGCCAAGTGACAGCCACAACTTCACAATAGATTAGAAAATCCCTACTTAATGGAATATAATGCTTCCTGGGTTACTTGGTCTGGTGGCTTCAGTAGCCCCAAATACTCTGAGAGGAATAAAGAGTTTTCCTCACAGAACTTCATCAAAGTACAGTTGATGAATTTTTCACAGATCTGAGAGAGAAATTAGAATAGTATCAATTAATAAACAGAAACCAATATCCCACATTCAAGTTACTGACATGAAGAAGCTACCCTTCCAAATAACACAGCCTGTAATTTGCTTCAGTCTTTCAAATATGTATTGCATGACACTCAAACCTTTTAGAATTTCATTTCCTACTATTCTAATTGAAGTATCTTTGGAACAACTCTATCATCCCCCCTCAACATAGCATAATAAAACAAAAATGCTTTTTGATAGCATTTTGTTCTCACAGATATGTTATTATAATGGGCAATGAAATGCATCCCTGTCTGTGTAAGAGAACGACCACGACAAAGAATGGGAAAACTGAACAAATTCATTGCAGTTTTTTCTTGTTTAAAAAGCTACAACACACCACTACAGAAATAACAGGTCACGAATGAAGTACAACAAACCAGACTGGTGCTGTCAAGGATAGGAAAAAAGTAAAAGCATTGCAGAAGCATGAGTTAATGTCTGGTAGACCTGTCATACAGCAAAATACTTAAACCAAGGCCATGTGGTTTACAAAGCCAAAGAAGTTATATGATAACATAATAATGGTTAATAAATATCTAAAACCTTTCTGCATGAGTGACAGAAGTGTTTTGGTACTTATTACACTCATGTTATTCTACCTCTGTCCAGATTTTTTTATTTCTTGTTCATCAAGTGCCTGATCACCTTTCTATACTGCAGTCTGCAATATAAAACCAGTAATTTAAGCATCTGGAACGCAAGTTAGATGACCTTACACTGGGGAAAAAAAGATTCATACTTAGATGCAAATTGCAAGATGAGTTGTTGGAGACCATTCAGGAAAGTCATGAGCTCCTAGTCCCCTCTTCCTGCATGCTTCATGTAATTTTATCCAATGACTGTTCAATGTAAAATGCATAAACAGTTATCAAGAACAAAGATTAGAACTGTAGAGAGTTTGCCAGAGCAATGCCCTCATCACTTAACAGCTAACTAACTATCTCTGTTTCCCCAAGTCACACGAGCAGCTGTGGTGAGGGGAAGCTTTACCAGCAGCCCTGTGTTCCCAGACAGGTCAGTTCAGAATCCAGCAACTGGGCCTGCTTCCAGAAGGAAGTATGTGTGGATCTGAATCCTTTGAACTTGAAGAATGCACAGAATCGAAGTGACCCACTATTCATTAATGAAATTGTAAGAAGTGCACAAATCATCTACCACATTTTAAAGGGTTTGGACACCAAAGGACCTACAGCACTGTTTATATTCAGATTATACCTCTGCAAAGCTGCATAGAGGAATTAAAGCATTCAACAATTTTTCAGAATCATCTACCTGCAGATCAGAGAGCTGGAATGACTCCTGTTCCTGCGAGCCTTCCACAGGGTAAAAACTACAGACACCGTGTTAGATTTGTGATATTCACTAAGATACCCAAGCCATTCAATTTAAGACATGGTAATAAAATGGTCACTATCCACATGGGCATTTTGGTTTGACTCAGGAGTAAATTTTTGAAATTAATCTTCTGATTATGCCCACCTACCACATTCTTTGTTTTTCACCATAGTGTTACCATACCATATTTACTCTCGAACAACACTAACATAAAAGATGCTGTTCACCTACCAGTTCACAGGACTGCAGTATAGCCAGAATAAAGTAAAAGCTCTTAAAAAACCCAAAGTCAACAACTGCTTTGTTCCACAAATCTTTTACTGTTGTGTTGTAGTACTTGCTAATGTGGACACAGCCTATGTCTCTGTGGATTTGGGTCCATCCTGAGTTTTTTCTCAGTGCATTGTGTAGATTGCTTTAGAAACAGTTGGTCATGTCTGAAAGTAAGTCCTCTGTCTTCAACATCCCATACATCCCAGAAAAAACATCACAGAAAGATTCTTCTGCTACTTTTGGACCTGTATTTTAGACCCCAATACTGTGTAGGTACAGAAATCACTGACAGCATGATGTGCTTTTGAACTTGTTCTTCAGTGAGGGTTTTGGCACCACTGTCTTTTGGAGTAACAGCTCTTGTGAACCACAGAATAACAGAGATTTAAATGACTGATCCTACTGTGTTCAAGTGTAGGAGAGAAATGAGCATACCCAGGTGCTTCACACAAAAAATGTCATACTTTTAAGAATATCCCTAGAACCGGTCTCAAATTAGTACATTACTTAAAATTAATTAAAATGAATCTGTATAAAGTTGCAATTCACCTTTAAAATAAAAACTGAAATCCAGTCCTTATCAAAAGAAAAAAAGCTATTCTGATGAAGTGTTTTAAAGCAGATCCATTAACTCAAATCAAGTCATTAACCACTCACATATTCTAAAATATTCTGTATGCACAGTCCTAAAATGTATTTTTGTGTAAAGTGCTCGTTGATTGTTACATTCTACACCTAAATAAATTCATTTTGGTATGAAACAAAGAAAATATAATGTACTTGGATTAAAACAAAATACTATCCAATGAACAACAGGTACAAACAAATTGTTTATCAAAGAAAACTTACATCTAGTAGTGTGTGAAGATGCTGATCCTGGAATACACTGTGAAGAAAATCTAAGTCTTTTTCACTGCAGTCTGTAAGTGCATGAATTTCTTCCAGGCTGTCCAGCACCTGTGAGACTGCTCCTATGGGGCAATAAACAGGGAAAAAAAAGGGAATAAAAAATCAATAAAGCAAAGACTCATGGTAAACTGAACTTTGGAAGAGGAAACTTTCACTTCATCTGGTACAACCGGAACAGGAACTTAAAAAAGCTGGAGTTTTTACAGGAAAAACTCACCGAATTAAACTTTACATATATCAACAGTGCCCATATGTAGTGTAATTATACATAAGAAATGGCTTAACAAGATTTAAATGGCTTAACAGGTTTAAAACCTGATTTTATTAAGCTTAGCTTTGTTCTTTTTTAGACTGTTTTCCAATGATGCCTTATGAAGTGACTTGGATTATGGGCCTGTACTCACCATTCTTTCCCCAACCTTTCTTTCTTCCCTTTTTGAACTGCTGGCCAATTTCAAATACATATTTTGAAATTTTGAAACATCAGCAAAAATGATTTTGAAAAAAAAATTTTAAAAGAACCAATGTTTTCACGAATTCTTTTAAAATCAGCATCTGGATAGAGGAGGGAAGAGAAAGACCTGTGTCTTCCAGAGGACATAAAAGGGCTGTACCATGAGCTCTGGGTTTTGTTCCATTTGTTCTGCTGGCCTGGTTATCTCAGACCCAGTTACAGCACTTGCTGCTTTTTGACCAGAGCATTGTTTTGGGTCATAGGAAGATGGGGATGATTTTTATATGGCATGGGGGTGAAAAGAGAAGCAAGAGCTATGGAGACAAAAAAGGACAAATGGGAGGCTTTATGGAAGGTGGAAGTCCATGAGGGAAGTTGAACTCACAGCAGGGGAGGATACAGAAACGCAACACAAATCCATAGTAAACCAGCCCACAGTGGTTCTGTGTAAAACAATTTGTTTTAAAAATCAGGTATCAGTGGTGGCTGCCACCTGTGTCCATTACTAGAATGCCAACTTTGACTTATCTAAACACCCACAGACCACACCTTCAGTTTTTCCACAGTGGTATAAGCATCTGAAAAGAGGTCAGCACATCCAGTCTGCGTCCTATGCTGGTGTCTCACAGTGAACTGCTGAATGCTTTTCCATAAATAAATTCTTAATTCAGGATACAGAATCCTAAATATTCATTACTTCATTAATTTCTCACCAGTATTCTTATTCTGTTTACTCATCTGTTTGCCTGTGTCCTTTTGACAAGATAAATAATATTTTAAAAATTGCTGTATTTCTTGAAATTCCATCCTCCACTGTATGAACAATTCTTACAAGCCTTCCTTAACTCAAACTCTTATGTACTCTACTTCCAGAATGTAACAAAAACAAAAAAAAACAATACCCTCTTAATCACACAAGGAAAAAAGTTAAATTAACTTATTTCTCTGAAAACCTTGAAAAACTGGAATAAACATAACAAAATACACAAAAACCTACTGTACTAGACTTGCAACCTCATGGCGTAGAAGGATGAGTAAGTAGCAAATCTAGAAATGATTCCATCACATTTAGTACAAATCTCAACCTGGGATTCTCCTGACAATTCCCTGTACACCAAGGTTTGAGAACCACAGTACTCCTCTCACTCACAACCCATGGCTCAGGAGCAATAAGACTTTTTAATTCTCCCCCTTTAAGTGTGCCTGACAACTTATATCCAGTTGATGAACTAATTTATGTTCCTTTTAAAAAACTGTGGCTGCCAGCAAATAAAATTAATGGTTTGACTTTCAGTAGTTGCTGTGCATGAGGTTGGGTGCCCTGAAAAAGAGAAAAACCTGCCTCCTGTTTGGTAAGTGAAAAAGCCTGCTCAGCTGAAAGGAACCTCCCATATTCCTCTTCCAGAGATACAGCAGGAAACCTGAGAAAATATAGGGACTGGGAATCTGCTGGTAAGAGGATGGAGAGATCACAGCTCAGCCTCAAAGGCAAGGAATAAAAACATTACCTAGGGATCCTCTACATTTTCAGAATGTCAGTTTAAGGCTCATGAATTTAGAGATCTCCAAGCCTGAAGCAAAGTGTTTGACTCTCCAGAATGCAGTTGGCAGAAGGAAATTTGTTTGAATTCTCTTTTATTTCTACTTTTGTCATGCTCAGAGTTTAAATTACTTCATTTTCTAGCAAAACTTTGCTTTCTGAGTTCAAAGCCCTTTCTGTGTATTTGGAGTATTTAAGGAAAAACTCAAGACAAGATTCACTTCAGAGGCTTGGATATCTTAAGAGTCTCTAATACTGCACAGTGTTGCTCATAACCACTAAAACTTGAGCCAAAACCAGAACCAATGAAAAGTGTGTTCAAAGTTGTCTGCAGAGCTGCACTGGTGTGAAACACCAAATGCTCTGGATTATCCCATTATTTATTTGACAGCATTATTTTGCAAATTTTATTTTGTGGAATACTTTGAGGGCTTTGAAATAGAAATAAGAGTTATGATTTTTTTAGTATTTGCATCTCAACAACCTCTTCAATATGTGGGAATTCCAAAACATTAAGCTTTGATCATTAGGTGTTTTTCTTTTTTTTCCTCCTGTCCATTGGTCACCTTGAATAGGTGACTGTAAAAGGAAGTTTCCAAGAATGTCCTTAAGGAATTTTATGAGAAGTTCTGACGTGACTTTGCTAATCCCTCAAAATCACAGTTCTACCTTATGCTTTTTTTTTTCACCTACAATCTTATGTTGCATCTACTGCCATGCCTTTCATGCATTTACAGATAACGTGCCACCTGCATGAGAAAATGGCACAGTAGCAATACACTGACAGCATGTTAGTGCATTAAAAAAAGTGATAGAACAATTCTACAGGCATTTTTGTGAACACCTAAACTCTCTCTGTTACCAACATCTGCTTAAAAAAGCTTAAAAGTACCTTTCAGAAGAGTTTTAAATTCAGAGAAATGATACTAACTACATAAAATAAAATTAACCAACCTTTACAGCACAACTGTTTCTAAAAAGATTCATATTCTATCATATTTAAGCTAAATTTCCAAGCTTTGGGGAAGTATGAAAGTAATTGTAATTAAAGCTTGTATCCTCTTGAAATAGGATTTAATCTCCTTTCAACATTGCAAATGCACCCATTTTAGCCTCAGCACAGATGATAAAGGAAGGATTTAAGTGGGTTATTACACAGTCATGCAAGCTAAAAGCTCATATTTCTCATAGTCTGTAGCAGTTACAGACAAAATCTATAAATATGAAAATTAGAATGCATAAATATTATTAAGAAGAAAGCTGACTAACTAGACTGTCTGTGTTAATTTGTTTTATAAGACTCCCTAAAGTAAACTTTGTTAGAAAATGCTGCTTACTGCCCCAGAATTTTCAAGTAGCCACAATCACTTGGGTGAGATGAATCTCACCCTGCATCTTAAATTACTATACGAATAGATACACACATAATTGCACAGGAAAGGTTGCAATTCCAGTGACACAAACAGAAGTCTCTTCTCTGAAGAAATAGTAACAAAATCGACATCAAACTTGATTCTGTGAGAAGATTCTAGTAACTGTGGATTCCACTGTAAATGCACATATGATCCCAGTGTCCAAAGGAGCAGTGATACTCTGGGCCATGCACACAACCTTGTCTTTCCTATTCCCATAAAAATACCTAAAAAAAGATGGCTGCAACTATTCACAGTTTCCTTGGGGCTACCAGTTCCGAAGTCGAAAACTATGGGTTCCCATATATTCCAAAGAAGAAAAAACACATCAGAATGTTTATGACAGTCTCCTGCAGTCAGTGCTAGTACATTCAATGCTTTCATAGTCAGTGGAATTACTTCTAAGAAGACAGAGATGAGTTCAGCAGTTTTCTGCCTACAAATCTATTATTTATCAGAAAGCATATTTGCTTTATAAGGCAAAAACTTGGGATTTTCTCTTTACCCTGTGCTTAGTCAAAGTTATGACAGGTGATTCGTGCAGGTTCTGTTACTGCATTCATGGAGGTGGCCTTTCAGAAATAGTTCTCTCTTACAGCTGAATTCTGTCTCCAGACTCTCTGTAGTTCTCATACAGTGCTCTTAATACCACCTACAGTTGGTGTGGACACTGGTTCATCCAGCTGGAAGCAGGCAAAGCTTTGTTAAAGCAGTGTTGTTACAACATGGCATCCAGATATTCTGGTCTGGAACAGGTGGTTTGACTCAAGAAACTGAACGTTAAAGGTAGGGAGGAGTTGCTTAGTTCTCTCCAGAGAGAAGAGAGTAAAAGACAACTTTAAGTACTATTCCAAGAATTGTCTATGTATTCTCCAGTACTAATATGTCTCCCTCCACCACAAAACACCCCCAAAGTTTGCTTTTCTGAGGCCAAGCAGGTACAACTGGCTTACTCTGTTATGTAACGTGCAGCACAGAGAATTCGGGGCTTTTTCATGTGACCTGCAACAGTGTATGACTGAATCAGTGTTTAGGTAAAGAGACTTAGATATTGCTGCAGAACACAGGCTACATTCTGACTACAAACACATTCTGAGAGAGAGTAAAAAAAATTCTTTGATTTATTTTTTAATACTGAAGATTACAAATGCCCATTTAAGTCTCTTCTGACTAATGAAAACATTTTAGAGGAAGTCTGACATTTTTTAAATACAAAACCATAAAACTACAACCTTTTTGCCAGTCTCCTGCAATTAGTATGCCAGGAAATAACTCTGCAGAAGAACTTGTAATAACCATTATAATAATAGCATGTTTTTATTAAAGAGCCACTGACAAAATCTAAACCCCTTAGATTTTTAGAACCATATAAAATTAAGTTCCTGACACCAGCCACTCATATCTATCCTATTCATTATTTACTCACTATTCTTTATGTTGTGTAAAAAGGTAATAACTATGTCTTGAAGATTTTACAGTGGTTTTTAACTCACTAACTAAGGCTTTGCTGTTATTTATCATTTCTGTATATATCACATTTCAGTCCTTATGCCAGTCAATTTACAATCAACAGAAGCTGATTTCTCTGAACCTTATCTCTTGGCTGCCTTGTGTGCAGCTGCTGGAAATGAAACTAAAAAACAATTCTGTTTCTTAAAGCACAGGCTTTTCAGAAGGTAGGATTTACATTTTACTTTGTGAAGTGGTCTGAGGCTAGTACATAGAGCAAGGGTAGAAGAAAAACCATCAGAAATTGTTAGTTTTTAGAGAGATCAAATATTAGAGTCACTGGATACAATCTCAAAAAAAAAAAAAAAGGCAAAAAAAAAAGCATGGGGATTATTATAGAAGTGCAGACCTTTCCACTACTTGTACTAATGCAACTTCTTAGATTAAGAGGAAGCCAACTGAGTATCAGATGCTCTTCATCACTTTAATCAACATCTGCAAAAATCACTGGAGTTGAGATGCCTCTAATCTCACACAGTAATTTGTTGCTCTTTGCTGTTCACTGTATTCCAGAGCAACTAACTCTGCAAGGACAGATGACAGCCAATACAGGGGTATATATATGACTATAATAGTTTAAAATAAGGTGAGAGATACTTGTTTCACATATACACAGCACTAAATTTAAAATGAAAGGCAAGTAAGGACTCTTTCTCAAATTTGAGCTATAGAAGTGTTTAATGGCTTCTTCCTTCTTGAACAGAAAACAAACAGCCAAGTGTAGACACCCTGTAAATCTACAAATAGGTTCCTACATGCACACAGTTCTCTGAATGCTACTGGGAAGCAAACAAATCAGTAATAATATATATATTTATGTATATATACACATATACCATGTGTTTATAGTTATATACAAAACAATCAGGAAGACTCCAGGGAGAGAACTAGAAAGATGGAGGTTTATAGAGATGACAAGGAAAATGTAGAAACACAGCAGTTGGAGCAATGGAAGGGTACTGGGATTTACAACTAAATTAAAGAAGGTAGGAACACCTATGGAATACAAGAAGGGAAAGAAAGGCATGTAAAAGTCAGAAAGGAAACCAAAGAAAATAGATGCAGGAGAGAAAAACAGGGAGGAGGAGGAAAAGACTAAACAAAGAAAAAAAAATTAAAAGAAGAGAAAAAACCTCCAGTAAACAAAAGATAAAGTGTTCCCAAACAGAAGAAGGAATGCAGAGGAGTGCACTATGTATGGAGAAACAAAAAGGGAGGGGTGAAGGGGAAGTGGAGGGGGGGAGAGAGCAAAGAGGGTGGGGAGAAACTGATGCCTGGTTTTGAAGATGCCTTCCTTTAGCTCTGCACGCACAGGGGCACTGTGTTATGCATGTCTCCAGCTTTCCCCTGTCTCCAGGCTTGAGACCTTCACATAAAGTTTGCCAATCCTTTTTCCCAGCTATCCCTCACTGTAAAACTAGTCAGAAATATGAAAGAAGGCAGTCTACTGTGGTGGTAAAGAAGCATGCAGTGAGAAGGTACTGTTTTTGTTGTTTTTCAGACCAGACCTACACGTTACATGTAAGTGCACTCACATGCAACAAAACAGATAAATATTTTAATAAATGAATGTCACTTCCTTAGACACTTTCTTCCTCATTGCAAAAATATATGGAAACCCTTTTCTGACCAGCATGATGGCAGTTCATCCTCAGTAAATTTGCTGAGGGAGTCTCTATGCACAAACAAAAACTAAAAATCATGGCAGAGGCTCTGCACGAGGTTTCTCTTTTTTCCCTACAACTGTAAAAAATAATACTATTGCAAGACTTTATATAAAAATCCACTGAACTCTCGCTGTTGCGTTACTGGACAGGCATTCTGAGATGGGGAAATAGGAGGACAAGGAACAACTTCCCCCACAACCTGTAAGATCAAAATAATAAACCAAATAACAACAACCACAAAATCCATAACTTTGATCAGAAACGGAGACATGGACAAGTGTCTTGCTGCCCTGACCTATGTGTGAAGAAGAGCTGTTACCCTACAAATCTTAAAATGCAGCTGGAAACCCCCCACTTTTTACAGTTTGTTTTTGGAGATGCATAATTTGTTGTTTTTGAAATGGTTGTGGTTTGTATCAAAGGGTCTAGAATTTCACACCTTCTCCTCTGTCTAGCACAGCCTGCAGGTTTTAGAAGAGCTTGCACTTTCAGTCTCTCATGATGTGTGCAGTTAACTTGCAGCAGAACCTCCTCCCCTATGTGTCAATCACATTCCTTCATTGAGGAGACACATATTGGATAGTTATTTAAATCAGGTGTATGCATATACACAGTGCATATGCATATATTCTGTATCACATCAACACAGAAGGACCAAGAAAGTTCATGCAAGCATAGAGCAAGAATGTAATATATGACTAATATTGCAGTATATGCTTGGTGTTAAGAGAAAAAACGCCCATTAGTCCATGAAAACAATTTTGGAACAAAAACGCAAACCCCAAACATTTTAGCCTTTATTAATTTAATGAAAATTAGATTTTATTTCAGTTGTGTTGCAAATATTAAATATTGGAGGGGGAACTAAACAGGTAATTTTAATACTGCCTCTGAACTAGAATCTCCAGAATTCCCTGGAAATCATAATACTTCTGGTTAATTCTACTGTCAATTATATTATACCACAGACAGGTTTAGTAAAAACCATACAGGCTATTTTTTTTTTTGAGCAGGCAGTATTAAAACTGAAAATAGCAAGGAGAAGCAAAGAAAGCAGATTTTTCAAACATGCAAAGCCACACACCATAGCTGAATGATATGCCTTAAAGGAAAACAAAGGGATACCTACTTTCTGCTGCTAGAAGTCCTAGTAGGAAGGCAGCGTTTGGACAAACAACAAACAGTATGAAGATCTCATCACAAGCGATTTATAAAGCTGCATCCTAGCACACTAGTTTAGCCACAAAATAGTATGAACAAAGTCACAAGGACCCCCACCCATTTTTTTAATAGGGTTTCCACGTGTGAAGCAAATGGCACTTGCGGGCCGGGATGGGAGGAAAAAACCACTTGGCATTGGGAAGGCAGCACATCTATGCAGTGTTAGATATCTGTAATACCAGACTTCTCCCAGCATTGATTAAACTATTTGTAAAAACTCATGGACAAAAAAGAGATTTCTAGTAAAAAGGTGAATTGATAAACTAATTCAACATACTGCAAATGAGGCAAATCGATATCATATTAATATACTCATACTTACTAAGCAGAATTTAGCAATGTTATATTGAAATCAAGTTTCAGTGAGAATCATTATGAGAACCATTCAGAAATATAATCACCTTATCGTTGCTTTTAATTAACAGTGTTTTTATGTACTTTTAAAAAAATTTAATCATATCAGAACAAAGAATAAATAGCTGAAAAAATCATAAAGATAATAATGAAGTATTGGAAACATGCAAACTCATGATCTCAAAACTGATAGTTTTGCTTGTAATACTAGAGAAGGAATTAATAACAGGAAATTATAAGGTGAACGTAATTTTTCTTCCAAGCACTCATACTTAAAAATGTTACACAACAGCCTTTGCAAATATTTACAAAATCAGTGGTAACTTCTGCATAGTAAAAGTATTTCTTTTTCTTACTCATATCGATGAGATATGAGGCTTTAAAGATATGGGCTTATATTGCCCATATTTCATGAAATCAATCCCATAAAACTATTAACCACTCTAACTTGTGAGTTCAGCTAGTTCCATGTAGGTTGCATGTACTGATCTTACAACTTGGCCATACACGTGCTGTTTGATCTCACTCTGAAAGACCATCAGATTCAGCCTTTTTCCCATTATTATTACTTTCAAATTTGAAAATCAAGATCTCACGCTGTTAAGAACGTCTAACTTGACAAGACAATATAGAGTCTAACAAGATAAAACAGAACAAGAATTTCAATTTACATACAGTGACCCCGAGAAAAATACCAAAATGCATCTGTGAAAATGCCACATGAAAGCAGTGCCCTGCAGTTTGAGAAAACAAGGCAGAAGCACTGAGGTGACCTCAGCGTGGCTGCTTTCTCTGCAAGGCAAAAGCTCTGCTTCTATGTTCACCCCCTTCCAGAGTCACCACAGAGCTCAGACAGCACACACATGTGCAGGAAGCACTGTGCCAGTGCCACTTGTTAGAGGGGTATGTGAGTACATCTGGTCACTCGGGCTGCTGTAAAATACGCTGCTGCACTCGCTCTGTGCTTACATCGAAACACAACATCAGAGGATGCCTTACAGGAACCCAGAACTCTTTGTGGCAAAAAAGCCACTCTGAAACCTGTCAGTCACATTTCAGTGTATGTGTGCTACAGACCAAGCCCGTCAAGCAGGCACTGTGGAGTAACAAACACCCTTTAACCAAAAGGTAAGGTTTGCTTTAATCTAAAAGTCAGTTATGCAGTTTTCCAAAGGCTACGGACTGTCCACTGGCTGAACTCCAACACTGACTTGGTAGTTCTGAAAATGTGGCTACAAAAAGGTTTTGGAAATGCAAAGTTATAAAAAACTCTTTGATTTATTGGTTTTTTGAACTGTTGGCCTGAAAACTTGAACATTTTGAATCTACTTAAAACTCCGAAGTAAACTAAACGGTCTTCCTCAATCCAGCTTCCCAAGTCAAAATGTCAAACAATTCCACAGCCTTTCCTTGGGCTGCCACAGAATGGGGGAAGCTGAAGAAGCAAAAGGAAGGAAAATGAAATGCTTTACATGGGTGATGTTCATTCTTCAGCCTGAGGCACTGTTACCAAAACACTTGAAAACTACACGTCTGTACCCTCTGTTTGGGGACAAATGGTCAGCTTGTGACAGAAGTAGAGGAAATCCTGTCTTGAGGCAATGTGTGATCAGGAGATAGGAGGGCCAGGGTACAGGGCAGTAAAGGGGAAGGGCAGCAGAGTGAATTTCTCTGGCACTTTACGTACTTCATGGTCAACTTCAAATACTTTCTACTGGGTCTGTTTTTCTCCTGTGTCAGATTTAGCCTGTAGGGCTGCTGATTGCTAACTTCTGATTTATGTTTGTTTCAGCATATTAAAAATATCCAAAACATTTGTTGCCTTGGAAAATAAACATTTTATAATGTCCTGAAAACGGGCAACCTGAAAGTCAAATGTTTTACATTCTAGAAGAAAAAAACACTTGCAAGAAGCTTGTCAGTTGAGCTGTTTAGTGGCTGTACTGAAGAAGTTACTGAACACAGCTTACCACCACTGATCTTTTAAAAATACTTACCTAATTAAAAAAAATATTTTAAAAGCCTTCATCACACTCTTTCAAAATTCAGCAAGACTGATTTCTGCCATGTTACCAACAGAACAATAGCAGGATGAAGTTAAGATCTTCAGAGGATGGTTGCTGATGAAAAAGGAAACCCACCCAGAACACGTGGTGGGAACCAAGAATTATCAAAACTCTGTCCAAATTAAAGGAAGATGTGTACAGAAAAAATACCTGGTTGACTTTAAATGGATTTTACCTCTGTTCGTTCCCATTTAATGGAGTCAAGCAATTTGCTGACCCTCATTGGAAAGCTCTCTAACAAGAATACCCTTTGTGATTCTGCATCTACAAAGGCCATCTGACTTGCTACTTGTAGAGTCTTCATGTTCCAGTCTAATATTCTGGTAGTGTAAGAAGATGCTCAAAGGCTCCAGCAATCCCAAGTTCACTGAACTTTGAGGAAGAAAACCTCGAGACTAATTTGGAAAAAAGACAGAACTGAAATTTTCTGTGTGTGGAACAACCTGGAGTGCAGGATATATAATGTGCATAACTTAACAAGCATTTATATTTCTGAGATATATCTCTGAAGGAGTTCCATTTTTGTCTGTTTCTAACAAATCATTTAATTGCAATAATAAGCTTCATGAAATTTTATGGGAGGACTAAATAGGCAACAACACTTAAAATATTAAATGCTCTTCATTAGAGTTTATGATCAGGAATAACATTTTATGAGATGTCGGGAAGGAAATTTAAATTACTTTAAGATAGTCAAGTTTCCACTGCAATTTAAGAGTTTTATGTCTAATTTCTATAAACTAGCCGGTTTTAGAATCATCACTAGAGCTTTACAAGCTAGAAATGTTGAAAGTTTTATTAGTGTACTTCTGAAGAGGAAACCAAATAGATTTCTACATCTAGCAATGGAAGAAGCTGTGAGAGTTGTGGTACCTTTGCTTGCAAGCCTCAGTGTTCATCCTGTAATATTAAATATTTTATCAGCTAATGTTGTTGGTCAGACAAACATCATGAAAACCACACACTTAGCATCGTTTCCTGATCACTGTGATCTCCCATCAGAGAGATCAACAATGTTATTTTAGAGAATAACTACCATTTCCTGAGAAATCCAAGGTAATGTTTCAGTTATTTCAGAGATGAACACAAGATAACAGTGGATCCAGCACAGATATTCTGCAGAATTTAACATATGTACTGGATTCAAGCATTCTGTGAGCAGAAAAAATAGAACTTGTACATTTCCTCTATACTGATATCTGCAATTACATCACTCTGAGGAAGACACATGTCCTGTTGATGTGAGACTGAAACTGGAAAGAGGAACTGCAGTTTTCAGATTAGGAAAGTTGCCACTGTCAATCATGCTGGTGGCTATTCCCTATTCAAATGGGGGAAGTAGATGGAAACAAAAATAAAGGCGCTGCAAGTAATTCAAGGTGAAGTAAAATCAGCTTATTCTTTTTTTAAAAGCAGAGGTGGATCTTTAACTACAAGTACATCGAGTATTTAAAAGCTGTCTGCCTGAAGTTAAGCCATGATGCCATGATTATCCATTTGCTTTAAATGATCTGAGGTTCCTATTAATTTCTGTGGAAATGGTGAACAGTGTGCATGCCTAAGGACAAAGCAATCTTTTAATTTAAGTACTCGAACTTGAAATCCAAGAAGTGGAATTGAAGAATTTCAACAAAAAACAATTTCACCCCATTCTTTTATTAATGACACTGAAATAATTTGTAATAACTTCTTGCTCATATGAAAGAGAAGAAAAGGTGTAATTAATATATGCAGTCAATAGGTAATTTTCTCACCTATAAAAATATTGGGAAAGAGAATTATCACACAGCAGATCAACACATACAATTAAATTCCTGAAATGTGTTCTAGTAAAGTCAGTATGTAGCTAAGATATTCTGCCAGTACTATTTGGTTATTTAGAAAAATAAAGGAGAGAGTCCTTTTGGTCTTCAGTTTTCCTCAGAGGTTCATTTAACTTGATCCTAAATCCTAATTTTAGGTCAGATAGACCACCCTAGACTTTTGCACTGCAAATGTTTTAAGTAATGCTATGCCAAAATTAAGATACACAACTATGACAGGGCTGTGTTAGTACACAGAGTGGAGGTTATTTAAATCCTTGAATATGGATTGTGGACAAAAGGATTCCTTGAGTCAGATCACTGTCCTGCCCAAGGCCCAGCTCACAGCACAGCACAGGTATTATCTTCCCCTCTGAAGCATGTTGGGAGATCCCTGAAGTACCATGTACTGTCTCTCTCTGAAGATCTGGGGGTGAGAAATACTATCCAAGGTGCTTTAAAGAAAAGACATTTTAATCACATTGCTCTCTAAAACAGGAGATCAGGAACATTTGGTACACAGTGGTTTCTTTTTATATATAACTATCAGTAAGGCATGAGAACCTTGCTCCTGCCTAAGAATTCAAGACAAAATTTCAATAAGCTTTTGTACTCAAGTAATATAAAGAGAAACGTGAGGTTATTCCGTTATTCGTAATAAAATGTACACACAAGAACATATAAAAAAAAAAAATAAAAAAGTCAGAATTTCTGTGGAAACTTACAACTGTGCAGAGATTTTCTCTTCAGTTTTGCCAGTCATGAACACCATTAAGACTGAAAACTATTTATTCTTTCACATGCAAATGTTAATTTCATATTAAATTTTATGAAATCTCAAAAAATTACTAAACACTTGGTAGTCTAGTCAGTATAGAATTAAGACAGGTTGACTGCAATAAATGTACTTTCTGTTAAAATACCTGAGGAGGTGGGGTCTTCAGAGAAGTCTGGCAGCTCTTCAGGGGGGTCACCATAGAAGGAGTTGAATTTGTGGCTTGACACAGCTGCTAGTACTGCCCCCTGAATAAAAATACCCACACAGCCTAAATTACACAAAGAAGGATAATGAAACATTTCCAGACACCCTGGATCACTCAATCTCCCAAGGTCTCTGGTGTGTTGACCTTCTCAGTGAAGAGCAAATAAATTTTACAGTCTTCAGCTCTGCTTCCCTGTTATCAGTGACCACAAGTGCTGGTCATACACTAATAAACAGTCAAAATATTCTTTGTGAGGGGATACATGAGAACAGTCCTTTATGTAAGTAAACCTTAAAATAATAATTGTGAGGCATAAATTCCCATAGAACAATGTAACAAAATAACTAATTTCTTTCTCTTTCCCTTTTACCTAGACTGAGTGGCTTAGCAAGAATAGAATATTTGACACCCATAATACATCTATATAAAAATAGTACAATTATATAGTTAATCTGACACTCCCAGAATCAGTGTTACATGGGAAGTCACAAAACCAGAAAAATGGTCACCTGCTCTGACATATATTTACTTAAGTTAAATACAGTTTAACCACTCATGTTTAAATGCCTCACAGTTATGGCAGTAGGCAAAATGGACAAATTTCATGAAACACACTGCAGAACAGTGCTTTGGATAAAATGGTATAAGAAACAGCAAGGGTATAAAAGCTCTCAGGAGATGAAATATAGGGGCCTCCCCAGGAAGAAATGTGGGAAATATCTGAAACTGTACCTAGAGCAGAAAAACAGGTCGTATTCTAAAATGTACTAGCTAACATTTGAACGAAAGTACTACCTGGACATACAAACCACCTAAGAGAAATTGCTGTTTATCATGAACTATGGCAACTGGTGCATCCTAATCACCAGCTACATTAAACTTTCACAAAGCAGCACTCCTTGTGTATACCTGACTCTGTGTTTCATTACCAATTGTAAAACAACTCATGAATTGTAATGCTCTATGTTTCTGTTAAAATTTTCTCAGCCTTTCAGTGAACTTAAAAATGTTTCTGCTAAACTTTCCGAGAGAGGAACTGAAGAGAAACCATGTTGTTTTGGGCTAAAATGTTAACAGACTTTTCAATTCAGCTAGGAAATAATCCTGTGTGCAGTTAAACATAAGGAGGATAAGCTGAAGAATACACATTTGCTCTTCTTGAAAAAGACATTAAAAATCACGTTCCTGTTATTATAAATGTAACCCAATAATAACAGAAGCCACTGTACTATTCTCTCCAGTAATTCATATTACACAGAATTAATGAACTGATTAAAGATGGAGACCTCATACACACCTTTGTTGATACCAGACAATTTGCATTGAAATTTGGTTTGAAAACTATGCAGTAAGAAAAGATGAGCATCATTAACAGTCATCATTGTAATAAGCATCTGTAAAGGCCCATTACAACTTTTTATTTTATTGCCAACTTCACAGATTTTTCCTACCACTTTTAAAACGAATGAAGTATCACACAAAATTCAAGTTACACAATTATACTGTTTTAACACTACATTCAGTTTACCTTTAGTTTTCGTCTTGCATTGAATTTTCTCAATTGTTCTACTGTTTCTGGAAGATGAATCTTGTATGCATAGCGATCTCTCTCCTTAAAAAAACCCACAAAAAACAAACCAAAAGAACATTAAATACAAGCTCTTCATATTCTCTTGACACTAAGAAACCAGACAAAAAAATGTACCAGCGAATAAGTATCCTAAGGAGAATGAGGATTTGTTGCAACTTAAGGAAAACTTCAAGAAATTAAAAGGGATTAAAATACTTTGAAAGAATTCTGAATTTGGGCCAGAGATATTTTCTTTTGGTAGTTTTGTTTTCCACTTTGTAGACCTTAGTCTTTTGTTTTACTGTTGTGCTGTTAGTCTGTGGCTAGCACTGAACTCTGAAGCTGGCAAGCAGAAAGTAGTTCTGCTTCTTGGGATTCACAAATCCCAGTGAAGCCACATGTTCAAGCTCTCTTTTCAGGGGTGCTTGATACTTCAGGCAAGCTTGGGAGATGGGGTAGGATGGCTGGTGATACCAAGTGATGGCTTACAGGAATTCTCCATTGCAGATGCTGATAAAAAAACCTGCAATGAATAACTGCAGTGACAGTAAGGACAAAACTTGCAGCAGTTGGCTACTGTCTTACCCTGCTCCAAATCATCACAGAAGCTCCACACACATTAATTTAATATAAATGTCTATCACATGCATCTCCTGAATCAGAGTGAAATCACCATCAGAAGTAATTCAGTCACTCTACAACAGTGGAGATGCCTCTGTCTCATGCTGTATTTGGATCTATAAATAGTTTAGGAGAAAGCTCTGAGTCAGCAGGGAAGGTTGTTTATCATAGCCAAAAATGGGAGGACTGAGTTTGGAAACAAAGTTGTCTCAAACTAAATGTTCTCTTTCCTTGCATGAATTTCAACAAATAATGACAAGACCAGAAAAAGATTACAGACATCAAAAGTGCTAAACTATATAGGCAGAGCTTGCACATTGACATTACAGAATTGTCTTTTAAATGAACCTGATCAGCTTAGTTGCTCAAACAACAAAAAATGACAAGGTTTTCTCCCAAAATAATCCTCAGTAAAACCCTTGCTTTGGCATCTAAATGTGGGTAAGCTCACAAAGTGAGGAAAAAGTCAAAATACAAGCAGGTAGAAACAGATCACCTGTTTTAACCACAGGTTAATCACTGGAGTTTAATCAGTTTTAATCACTGGAGTACAATCATTTGGGATTTGCAAACATGGTGGCTCTTTACATACTCTTTGATATTTGATACACTAGGTAAGCTCCAGATCAATAGACAGAACTTTGGCTCCTTTTGTGTGGAATGGTTTGAACCTGCAGTTTCCCAATACTCAGAAGAGTTGCCTTAACCACTTATTCCTGAGAGATGCACACTCCTGAGCTCCTTTTATAAGCTAGGCCATTCTGCAGCTTAGAATACAAGAGTCAGAGCCAGAAAGAGAGCAGAGAACTGGAAGAACGCCCATTTACTTGGAGGGAGAAGAACATATGAGCCTGTCCTTCCCAGGTTCTTCTTCTGGGTTTTTTTGTGTCACTATTTGTCTCGTGTAGAGCAAATAAAACAGTCCAGAAGCAGACACCAGAACAGTACCCTTTCAAAACAAGTGCCCTGTTCAAGTTAATGATATTATGACTCTCTCTACCCTTGACCTACACTATAGGAAAGAAGTAGAGGATAACAAAGAAAAACAGTTAATTCATCACCTTCTGCCAAAGAAAATGCAACATTCTGAATCAGGACTTGCCACTTTATAAATCTGTAGCACACCCATCATTCTCCAACCCCAATGTTTAGCACAGACTACTGGATGGGACTGCTGAGAAGCTACAGCTGTATATTCTCCTGCTCCTGTTGTTAATCTGCAGCGTTCAGCAACTACTCCTCTGCTGGCTTAAACTGTGTTGTAAATTCTGACACCCCTGAAAAATAATTTGATTACCAGATATCATTTCATTTTATGCAGTCACAGTGGCCTTTGAGTAACATTCCACTCCATATTTCCTTCACTCTGGTGGGATATTTCAGGAATCTAATGTAAGGAAGCAGCACAGTTCAGTAGCATAACATCCTGCAACAGACTGCATGGCTATAAGCATAACAGGAAAGAGGTTTAGGACTGAGCAAAGAGGAGATCAGAAATTATTTCTCTGGAGTTTGAGAGCCACAGAAAGACACATTAATACCTTCCTTAAGCTTTATGCTACACAGCCCTACTCCCTGATGCTGCTGAAGATGTCCAGCTGAGTTCACTCCTGCTTTTAAGAGTTCAAGCCTGGCAATTATCTAAATCTCAGGCTCTAACCCTACAAAGCATTTAAAGCAGATTCTCCCACAATTTGTACAGTTCACGTCTTCTTTGAAAAGCTCAGAGAAGCAAAAAAATAAATCTTTTTCTCCCTTGAAGCTGAAACTGGTGTTTAAACAGCTGCTTTTACTACCTTTAACCAGGGATGATTCAGTGCTTCATATACTGTTATCCTTTCTGCTGGATCCAGCATAAGCATGCGGCGTACCAGGTCTTTGGCACTTTCAGAAATATGGCTCCATTGCCTAGGATTCATCTGGTCACAAGCAAGAAAAAAAAGACATGAAATTAGTAACAAGAACATAGGAAACAACATGCTTTTTACTTAAATGATTACAGGAATTTGACAGTGGTTGGTGCCTGCAAACATTTCATTGAAAAAGATGTAAAAGAAATGTAAAAGAAGTTTCTAAGTTTTTTAATAACTTCTAATAAGTTGTACACTAGTTGCTATTGAAATGGTATAAAAATTGAAAACATAAAACCTGACATATTCTTGGTATTATAATTACAGTATAAGTTTCTACCTGTTCTATATTTTGTTTAGCTAAAAGTGACTCTTCCCTAGGGAAAAAAAAAAAATTAAGCTTTGTCTGACTGTTAACTATGCCTAAGATAAATGTAGAAATTAAATCTACTCCTGAAATCAATATAAGGAATGGTATGACAATCCATCTGTATCAACCCACAGTTTCATGCCAGTGATTCTGAGTAAAAAGGAAGTAAGATAATGCCTGTTGTGAACTATTCTGGTCTTGTCCCAAAGGTACTATGGACAATGGCTCTTCCCAATAAATTCCTTTCAACTTTAAAACAGGTGAGCATCCTCAGCCACTAGGAGAGCATACTGTGATCAACAACACAAGCAATTGCAACACTTTTTAGTGCAGAACTTTATCCTTAGGAGACACCAATGTGAAGGATCATTTAGAATATATTTTCTGCTTGTGCCCAACCAGTCAAAATTAAGGATGCCCAACAAAACCGTAATAGAGAAAATTATTAATGTAATATAAAGGATTATATCCTTATGCTATTTCTAGGATTTCTTTGACTTATGAAGAACTTAAGTTTTATGCAATGATACACTGCTAACTTTACAAGGCACTAAATGAAAATCCAAAATTAAAACTAGACTCTTTTCAATGTTATAATCTGTTCATTTAAAGAGGTCCATTTTATTTAAAATCAGCCTTTACAAAAAACGATCACTTTACATTGGGGCACTCAGGAACATGAAATCCACATTAATAGTTGTGATTTGTCATTTCTTTTTCAGCTTTAATGAAATGAAGGTAATTGCAAATTTGCAGCAAGATTGTTTTAAAATCCTTACAGTATTTTCACTGAATAGACATATTATTGTGGAAACAGGAACAGAGAAGGAACTAAGAGGACACAATGTGCTGGCCATAACTTTTTTTTTTTGAAACAAAGGGAAGTTAACTTATACACTTCCAGAAGGTTTTAGCTGCCTAAGAGACTCCATAAAGAAATCTGCCATAAAGTGAAACTGGAAAATCTGTGCAATCCCATGAAGAAATGCTGCTGCCTCTAGGATCACAAAACTTAAAGAATGAAAAATGTGCTCCTTAACAAGTGCAGTAACACTGTTGTCACTTACATTTTGGCAGACTACTGTTAAGTTCCTATAGCAAAATACTTCCTAAACCATTCTAGAGACCATCAGGCAGCTTTAGGATTTTCCGTCCTTAATTTGCCAATGCTCAGCTCATGTGTGACCTCGGTCACAAGGCAGAGCAAAGCTCATCTTAGACAAAACCGTAAAACCAGTGAAGCTGAAGCTTTAAAGTTGTCTCCTTAATGGTCTGGGACGCTGCTGCTGTGAAACACACTCCTCCTGCCTGCACACCGACCTGCCTGTGGTTGCAAGTGGCTCCTTTTGAATCATCAGCTGCACTTTACTATGCACTGTACTGAAAAGAAAAACACCTAACTGCATTTGTTAGGCGTTCTCTTAGTTGAGGATTTAAATAAAAAAAATTTAAATTATCTATAAACCTAAGGTAACACACATTATGTTACACTTCACAGATAAACCTCAGGTAATCCTGCTGGGTTCAATGTACATTTAGGGGTGAGTTGTTACACCCATTTATTATTTCATCTGAGTAAATATTTCTGTATTCTAATTTCTAACATTGATACAAAACACAGCAGGAACAAGACAGACCGGAGAGAGAAAATTATCTCTCTTCCTGCATAACAGCTTCAAATTTAAATCAGGCTAAATACAAAAATCAACTTCTAGAAATTTTACCAGCAGAGCTCATCTCACTGGAAAAGGATTCAGGTATACTGTCATTTACCTTGTATTTGCCTTTAATAATGCCTTCAAATAATCTTTCCTTGGTTCCATAAAAAGGCAAACAACCACTTAGCAGGATAAAAAGGATCACGCCACAACCCCAAACATCTACAGGCTTCCCATACGGTTCTCTTTTTACCACTTCTGGGGCCATAAAATGAGGTGTTCCTACACGTCCTAAATGGAAATAAAAAGAAAATTTAGTCAAAGTGATGTCTGTCAAACATGGAAATAAAGAATATCCCTCCAATAAACTAAAACAGTTTTAATAAATTTTGTTTATGGGTTAAGCTTTTAACACAATGCTTTTTCCCTTAAGTTTAGTATTTATTAAATATATCCAGTGAGACAAATCAGTATTTTCCCTTTCACTTCATTTATACTTTTATGACTTGAGGAATATTCTATCCTACCCAGTAGAGTGAAATGAGACTCATATAAGAGCACTAAGATTCTTCAGTGAAATTTGGCATATAAAAGTAAACCCACCAATTTGGACAACCTTTGAAACAGGAATTATTTATCCAGAGAGCAAGTACAAAGATATCAAAGAGTTCTAGTCTACACTGATAACTTGAAAAAGCAACATCTAATTGGCAAGAGCACAGTTAGTTCTGACGCTCTGCCCAAACCTTGGCCAACAAAAATGCAGAACACCAGCATATGTATTGTTCATTTATTTGAAGCAGGCAATGTCTTACTGCACGTAAGAAGATAATGCTGATTTGTTTCGCAAGGTGCTTTCAATGTGTGTCACTCAGTAATGGTTCTGGCACAGTACTCATTTTGGATAGGTAATGAATGTACTCCCACAGAAACAAAACTTATTTAGTACTGATCTTTTTAGTGGATAAAATGTTTAGAATGACTTAAATTAATTTCTGTGTAGCACATTAAGTCAAACAAATGCAATGAACATTTTACCTCTCCATATAAATGTTTCCCACTGTAAAGAATTTGGTTTCCATTGCAAAAATTAAGCTTTGAATGCTCAGGTCATCACTGACACAAACACTGTAGTCTTTGGACTACCCTGGTTCCATCAAGTACCAAGAGGAATAAAAACCCCACAAGTGTAGCAAACTGTCACCACTGGCACCCCCTTCATAAATTATTTGTGCTTACTGATAAATACAATGGACTTCAGAGGCTCCATTCAAGGCTTGCAGCACCTCTCTGCAGGCCAGGAGAGTTTCAAATGCAGCCTAGAGAATCTGAGGCATTTGCAGGGCATGTATTTAATTCAGTTTTGTATTGAAAAGAGATTCTTGCTTGATGAACCTATCCTGCACACCACTGGCATGGGAGTTAGCTAAGTCACAGCACTGGTAACAAACACCTGTGAGACTATCTGGCAGTAGCTTAGTAAAGACCATCATTTGTTTATCCCACCTACAGCAGGAATACAGTCTAACCATGCTCTGTTAACTAGCCCTACTCACTCCTTTTTCCATCTAAAGAAGTACAAAATGGACAGAAAGATGGCACCTTTTACATCATACTATTCTTAAGGACAAACAATGCCATTGTTAAAATTCTTCACCTTTGTGTTATACCTTTTCCTTCAGAGTTTATGAGGTAATTCCCCTGCCAAACAAATGTTAGGGATCTGTCTGTGACAAAGGAATGTTACCTCATCACTAAGCTAGGTCAGCAACTTAGAATGTCCAGGCTGACCTGACAGCAAAGGGACAGTTCTTTTCTAAGCTAAAGAATAAAAAAACCAGCAAGATGCTGCATCCCTCATATCACTGGGGGAAGAAGAAGGACCCTAACTCTGGACAGAGAAAGACAGAGACAGACGTGGGGAAGATTTCTAATTCTTCTTGCTGTCTATACACAATTTATAGGCTCAGCCTAACTGATAAACCTCAAAGCCAAAGCTTCAAGATCATAAATATGAGGTCAAGAATTATCTCCTTAGATGACTCTCTCTTATTTACATGCCTGGTGATGGGGAAGGGAAGGAAAATGGAAGTTATATATAAATCCAATATGCACAAGTTGTTTTTGAAACTCAGGGGTTTTGCTTTTTGTTAATGTGCCTGTAAACTTACTAGGGTTTCCTCACTGTTTTTCCTCCTAGGATGCCATCACAGCAAAAGCATGAACGTTTCCAGCTCTGCATCAGGCTATGCCTGTGCATGAGCAGCAACACCTGCCTGTTCAACCAGCATTTGTCTATCCCTTCGACTGCTCACGTGACGTTAGCGGTGTGCTCACCACTGACTGGAAACCTTTAGTGCAGAGGATCATCAAAGACCACAGAGCAGCCTGGCTTACCCAAGTCTTGTTTATCTCGGTGGTGACTTCCTGACAACGTGGGTGCAGAGGGACCCATTTGCCATTTTGGAGCAGGTGTAACCTTTTTTATATGCTGAAAAAAACATTTGCGGTACTAAAGCTTGTTTAAATATTTTTAATCAATATGAATAGAAAATTATATATAGTCTGAAAATTCTGCCTTCCCACCAGGCTTTATAATTGCTATTATAAAATGTGGCAAGTCTAGAGGAAAGTGATTACAAACTGGAGATATCAGTAGAAGACAAGATATCACAAGGACAAAGTAAGCTATTTAAAAGAGACATTAAACTTTAGGGAGATATACATTTGTCTGGATAAAGTAGCTAATGAAACTATGAATCCTCTGTATCAAATGATAGGTATGTTGATTTAATGCATATTTCCAATAATTACGAGGGACTCAGCTTCGAAACTTCTTTATGTTTCAAATAACAATTGCAGACATGAATGTGGTACTAAAATGACTATGTGCTGTGAGAACTATGCTTAAAGGTTTGGGGTTTGGCTTTGAGGTTTTTTTGTCAATGCATTTAAGTCTGCTGGGCATTTCAGTACAGTGAAGGCTGACCTGCAGAACATCTTGTGTCCTTACAAACAATTACCCATCCTACATTTTCTCATATGGTGTAAAATAGCACATCTAGCAGCAACACAGGCTACATAAGCAATCCAACAGCATGACTGGGTGTAGGAGTTTATGTGTCAAGGTGCTGGCACTGCAGGGGCTGCAGGGGTGGTGCCTGTGAGAAGCTGGGAATAACCTGCTCTGGACACAGACGGTTCCAGTGGAACCACTGCAGGGCACATCTGAGCCCAACACTCAATACAGTGGTGCCTCAGGGAAAGTGTGTGTAAGAAAAGGAAAAAACACTGCCTAGCAAGTGAGGAATACAGGAACTGACATTCCTCATCCCCCTGCACCAGTTGGGATTGGGTGGTAAGGGAGTCAGGAGCAAGGGAGTAAAGTTGAGCCTGGGAAGAGGACGGGAGGAGTGAAGTTTTAATTTTTGTCTTTGTTTCCCACCACCCAAATCTATTTGATAGTTCAAGGTTCCTATTTTGTTTTATCTGCTGATCCCACACCAGAATGTGAGGCTGCATCTTCACTTGAGTACTCAAGTGCTCTTACAAACTGACAAGCTACAGTTAAAAAACACTGTCCCTCTCTGATCATCACACATTTTCTCACTTGGAAGTCAGAAGGTGTTTCTTCCATCCCAGGTAGAACTGGATCTTTCTTGGCCAGGTTCAAAACCAGTATACCATCAAAAATCCACTTTAATGAACTGCTTGATGTTGAGCAGAGGGAACAGAGCAGTTCAGTAAAAGGAAACACACCACAGGGCTGTTTAAATCCCCAACAGACTGATACTATAAACTAGATGAAAAATGGATCTTAACAGCAAGCTGAAAAATCAGTGCTACTAAACCTTAATAGTGGTTTTTACATTTAAAATGAGAACTCCATAAATACAAATGAAATGAGAAAGAAGACTAGGTTAACTTAACAGAATCTTGCCATTTACCTTGGCTAGATTATAATTAGTGAAAATAGTTCCAGAATTATTTGGTTTTGTAACCTCTTCAGGACTGATTCCAAGATCCTGATACTTTACATGAGGGGGTGGAAATCACAACTTTATGTCCATGAAAAAGCAAACCCGGAACAAGCAGAAACTTAAGCGGTTGAAAAAGAACCGTCCAGTCAAACAGGATAAAAAAATGCATATATATGTGTATGAGTATGTATGTATCAGAAAGCCTAAAGTCATTTCTGGCCAGCTGTCATCCTTGTGACCACTTCACTGGGGTCATCAAAGGAGCAAATGATGATTTCGAGGTTATTCTAAAAAAACTGACCTGAGCAAGAACTGCTGAGCTGTGCCTCTGAACTGCACTTAGCTCAGCACAGTGAATAAAGTGCACACATGAACTTACACAGATTGGGAGCTTTCCAATGTTGCAACTAGAAGAACTGTAAGCTGAATATCAGTAACAGGACAAATACAACCTATAGACAGCAAAGTTGTCTAAAGTCACGGATACTGACTGATTTTTAGACCAAGTATCACTTCTGCTGAAAATCATCTAGTAGAAAATTTGCCTTCTAAACACATCCAGTGTAAAATTTTAAAGTTGTTCTCAACAGTTCAATTATTTTAAAATATTTTAGAAGCTTCTGAATTTTCGTTGGTGTTTTGCGAGAAGCTCTGCATCTTTTGGAGGCAGAGTAAGAACAGTAAGAAAAGGTACTTTCCTCTCTTTAACAGATAACTTCTGCTTTCCACAGGCCTTTCATTCTTCAGGATATAAGAATCACAGATATATTTGAATGACTGCCCACGAAAAAATAACATTTTAATTAAATATATACTGCATGCATGCATACACACAGGATTTTTAGTTGTCAACTAAATTGACAGGAATTAGTCTGTGCTTTTACGTTCTTCTTGTTTGTTCTAAAGTGGCATTAACTGAAACTCATCACTATATAAAGACTCAACAGTGGTATGTAGTTAATGTGATACTTGCCTCCATCCATTTCACTGTAAATAAATGCCTACTTCAAAGTGTTTATTGATTTAGGAAGCCCTCAGTGCCTGGATAGGTACAGACATTAGATACCTTATTTCTAGACATAAACTTCCTTATCAGCCATTTTTGAGGCATGTTGGCTGCCTGTAAATTTATAAAATTGCTAATTGTGCTAATCTTTCCTGTGGATAAACAGAGAGCTTCAGTCTTCAGGTGCTGTCAATCTGATATCATTTACAAGCACTAAAGATAAATTTTGACTTACCTTTGATAATTTAGTTTCTATGACTCTTTCCATATTATTCCAGACAATAGGGCTATGCTTTCCACAAGAAGAAGAGTATATACAGAGACCCAATCAGATTTTGTCATCCCTAAGGCAGGGGACTGATGACCAAGATATCAGAAGGAGAGTCTTTCAACAGCAGTAGTATCTGAACGATGTATAAGGAAACAACTGGAACAAATAATTTTTAGGAAAAAAATGTGAGGTACTAATAAACATCACCATCTGACCTCTCACAATAGTGTAATAAGAATTATGCTCATAAATTAAGGAGTTTCTAAAAGAGTGGGATGTGGAGAATAATGTGGAAGGAATCGAAGAATCACACATAACAGGATCAGAGAGGTCAATACTTTAGTACTCTTAATTCCTTTCCACATTACTCCAGACAATAGATATGTTTATAAAGCAGGTGTACAGAGAAGATGAACAGGTTAAAAAAAAAAAAAGATAAAAAAAAGGAAAAAAAAGGGCAATTCAGCTTCAGCACAGAAGATTGTCTGAAGAAAATGTATTGTAAAAGATGCATCAGCAGACAACTGGACAACTTCAAATTAGTGTCCAGAAAACGAACAAAGCAAAGCTCACATATTAATGAGACAAATTATAATAACTGATTCAATGGCCTTTTCAGTCATACAACTATGATGGAGGAAGCAAACCTAAATGACTTCTTAACACATCAGCCTCCTCTTAGCACTCCAGTGAACTGGAATTTCTGAGAGACTGTAAAACACAGTTGTAACTTTTAAATAAAATGAAGTCTCTTGGAAGCAAAGAAAGCTTTGCAATACTATTCAGACACTGATGATGAAAAGGAAAAAAATCTATGCAGTGCAAAAAACCTCCAACATTTTAAAAAAAAAGTTTTTTAAACTGGTGTTTATCAAAACACCAAGAAGAACCAGTTTGATGAAACACTGAAAAGGCTGCCCAGAGAGGTGGTGCATGCACCAACCCTGGAAGCATTCAAGGTCAGGTTGGACATGGTTCTGAGCAACCTGATCTAGTTGAAGATGTCCCTGTTTATTCCAGAGGGTTGGACTGGATGACCTTTAAAGGTCCCTTCCAACCCAAACCATTCTGTGATTCTATGATTATTTTTACATTGATGAGAACAAAACAAAAACAATGAACTTAAAGGATTCTGCTCCCCTTCCCCCCATTCCATAATCTACTTCGAGGGAAAGTTATGGCAATGCCTTCCTTTGCTATTTTTGTAGTAAGTCTAAAAGGTCAAATGAGAAAGAACCAAGAGCACTTGGTATTTATGTGCTGTACTTCCATTAAGAACATATAAGATGTTTTCCAGTAAGAGGATAATTTATGGTAGGATACTATTGGATTTTGAAGTAGCCTAGGGGAGCAAACTAATAATACATAAAAATTTATATTGGGCTTGATTAGTATCATGGTACCTGTGACATTTTGCTGCTAAAGGTACAAAGTGAAAGGCAGTTTACTATCCACAGGTAAGACTTGACAGCTTGTATAGAACCTTGTATCACTTAGGTCTATACAGTTACTGTATAGTTTCTGTACTAGTTGAAACCAAGAGAACTTAAGTAGATTAAGTGGAGGAAATAGCACTTGTGAACTCAATGGGTTTTGTTCCTTCAGACTTTTATGCCATATATGAGCTAAAAATCCCAAGACTTAGCATCTAAGATATTCGATACGAGATAAATCTGATGCCACATTTATTTAAGAAAATATTGTGGCAGTTCATACCATATTCTGCAAGAAAAATTGTCCAGGGAAGAAGACAGAGATCATAATGTGAGATTGCTCTATTAAATCACTGAATTCCTTGAGGTTCCACTACTGTAGCTGCATCATAACCATGCAAACACAGACTGTTTCCTGTCTATGTGCTGTTCCATAAAAGAGTTCACTTATAAATCATGATGATCTGTAACTACCATGTATACTGCCAGAATTCCACCTCAAAGTACCTGCTTCGATGTTTCAAGTAAAGCACCTAGTACAGTTTTCCAGTTCTGATCATAAGAAGTGCAAGAACAGACCTTCAGAGACTGGTAGCTCATGGAAAAAAACTTCCTGTAACACAGGCTTCTTATTCACTGCATTGCAGTTTATGGGCAAATAGAGTGGAACAAAGAGTATTTCCTCACATTTTCCCTTCTGGTCTTCTGAAAAAGGAGTTATGGCTAGGCCCTTTTTTTTGGTACTTACTTAATAATAATTAAACTTTGATAAAAATGAACTCAACTGGGGTTGTTAGCTGATAAAATACAGTCATGATCCTAAAATCTATTCCACAGACATTTCCATTAATGACATCTTAGTGTGATGTCATAGCTTGTTGTCATGAGCTCCCTTACACTTCTGTTAAATAACTATCTACCTGCTTGAAAGAACATTATAGTTACAATCCTTCTCAACAACACAAGTCTATCTTTGGACTTACATCAAAAGATTGGGATTCATCTACCTTTAATACCCAGGGCTTAGTTTAACTTTACTACAGAAACTCTTCCCCTCACACCCATCAATCTAAGCACACTGGAAAAAAGATGTCTTTTGTTAAGTTAAAAAAATTTTGCAGTCCCAAACAAAGCAAAAGCCATGTGCTTGAAGGATGGCTTCGAAGACGCTGAGGGAGAAAATTCCCTTCAATTTGTTCTCCTGGGGCTACACAGAATCTGGCCTTTCCAGGCACAGGTGTGTCAATGCACAAAGGTAAGCAAAACAGCACAAATGAAGCACAGGGGGTTTTAGGTCAGTAAAAGAACCTTAGTGCAATAACCACTTTTATTTAATAGAGAATTTCTTTTCTGATGTGTGAACCGCCAAATACGGGAACTGCCATGCCAAAAGGGAATAACTGAGTATGTTAAGCTGAATCAGTGTTTTACACTAAAAAATTAGAAAAGCAATGTGAAAGTGGGTAGGTTGGTTATGATACTACCCAAACTTCTCTATATGGAGAGTTCCTATTTCACTTACGAGACAATTGAGAAAAAAGAAGTGTTAGTTACTATTCTGACAAAACTTATCCATAGGGCGTATCGATGACATTCTTTGACAAATGTGTAGACCAGCGTTGTTTTGTAAAAAATGTATAGCCCAGTTCAGTCAGTCACTATTGTTAACTTTCCTATAACAAACACGGGTGATATTGTAAAGTTGAAGAAATAAAATCTTGCCAGTGCTACGTAGGGGACTGTCTAGTAATGTGCCTTCAGGTAGGATTCTGGCAGGGAAAAGAATTGCCAGGTAACAGATGTGGTATAAAGACTGGAATGGAAGATGAGAAGAAAGAGAGAAGGAGTCTGTTATGGAGAAAACTTGAAATAAGCAAAAGAACTGAGACCTTCCATGGTATATAAATGAAGTGGAATTACTCTGTATATCCCTGAAAACGAGTGAAATTTGAAGCTGAAAGTAACAAGTGCTAATGAAAGACTGCAAACTAGAAATGACAGTTGAGAGAGGGGGGAAAAAGTGTATAAAGGCAGACCAATATGGCATAAGTTGAGATGGAAGAGGCAAAAGATACAGAGAAATATTATAGTGAAGAGGCCTGAGAAGCTTCTGTAAGTGTTGCAAACAGAACCACTGACAGTGGTAACTGCATGGAGGTTGGGCACAGGAACACTGAGTGGGACCTGCAGAATGGAGGTCTGCAGAATGGTAACAGGAAAGGAAGGCCACGACAAATTTGGGGAAAAATGCTGTAATCTTTTTACAAAGTTGAACTTGACGTTTCTTGCAAGACAAGTATTAGTGTGAAGGAAAGTACACTGTATCTCATTACCTCCAGAAGAGTAGCTGAAACAGAAGAAATGGATAAAGTTGCTCAGTGAGAACATAAAGAAGAAAAATGAGAGAATCTTAAACAAAAGCGTAGAAACTATCACTTAAAAAAGCAGTGGCTGAGGTACAGATAATCTGAGTAACACAAGAGAAGAAAAGAAAGGAGTGACCTTTTTATTAAAGAAACAACAGTAGCTTAACTGAATGGGTATTTTATTTGAAAGGATGTCTCTAAGTAATTAGACACTTGGATATTTCCAGGGTATCAGAGACATCTGGAAGGGAATCGAAGCTGTTGGTATGTTTATATTGGATTTACTTCTTTATTTAAAAAGCATATAAAAGCCAAATTGACACAGAACTTTAAGTAATTGGATTAGGAAATCTGAGTTTTTGAAGAAGCATAGTACTGATAGGAAGTTATTAATTTTAAAGAAAAAATATTAAAACTAACAAAATTTTTTTGTTGTGGTCTCCTACTCTGGCAACGAAAGCATCAGAAAATTGATTGGGTCTTCATCTGTGCAGGCTGATTAAAGCATAACCCTATTGTCTGGAACAATATGGAAGGCAGCTAGAGGAAATAAAATCCACAGAAAACAAAACACACTTAGTCAAAAAATATACATACGTATCAAGATATTGATGTCTTATGCAATAATTACAATGAAATATTAAAACACAGAAAAGAGTCACATGTGAAAACTAGTAAGGTTTTGCTATTAAACAGTTCAGCATTGTGCCAGGGATTGCCTATGAAACATAGGGGAGTGCTGATGATGCTGCATTAAGTCCTTACTCAACAGCTTTGACAGACATTTCAACCCTGACAGCATTTTTATTTGCTTTACTTTATCAGGCACGGAAGAATTAAGCCAAAGATTGTATTAAAGTGGAAAATTCTTTGGTTTTTTTCAGTTTTATTATGATCAAACCAGCGTAAGCTCATGTTGAGTAACATTCAGAGGGATTTAAGACTCAGTACCTAAATGCACAACAATCATACATTCTACTAGCAGTTTAGCTAAACTGCGTGCATTTATAATGCTAACAAAGTTTTTAGTGAAAGATTATTTTTGAGCTCTTGTTTTGCAGGCCAGGCTGTGTCACAAGAACAGAACTCTGCAGTAAACATGCATCATACTAAATAACTTCGAAGGAAAATTTCTTACCTCCAGCAACTAGCCCAGACTCTCCTAATTGAATTGCTACCCCGAAGCCACCAAGCTTTACTGGGGCTGAATTCTCTTTTGAGGCAAGGAGTACACAGTGCGGCTGAAAAGAAAAAAATCCAGACAAATTATTATATTGTTTGAGAAATACAATTTGTATTTTAGAACTTATTTTCATAAATTTGCAAACAGAAGCCAAAAGTTTGTGTGGTTTGTTTGGATGGTTGGTTTTTTTTTAATCATGTCTTCATTTCAGACTTTTTTTTCCCTCTCTGCCATAGACTCCTCTTTCTGTATTGTTTTCCTTTCTATTGTCCCAGGCACAGCAAAATCTTTTCAGGACTTACAAAACTTGCAAGGAACACAAAGTGAAATCATACTGAAGTGGAGATAAAAATTCATGCCTATAATTTCTTACTGGTATTACTTTTTCTTTTTACCTTCCCCCTTAAGCCTTACACTGTTTCAATTCTCCAGCAGAAATATCCTGACGATGACAGACTTTGTGGGATTTTATCCTTCACAGAGAACAGAAACCACTACTTTGAGCCTTAATCACAGATCATTTCTCAAATGCAGGAAAGAAAAGGAACTTCCCTGTGATGTTTCTAATAAATATTGTAATGAAGGATATTGTTTTGGTTTCTAAACTGCATTTCAGGCACAGTCATCCATATCCTCGATTTTCCACAAATAAGAGTGAGGTGTAACATACGAAAATGAAATAATATTTTACAACAGTCTGGATAGATACTGGCTGGTGTAGGAGGAAGCAACATACATACAAAATCTATTAGAACACAATTTAGCATTTAACACACATACCCAAACTATTGCATTTAATACAGAACAACTTCCTGCATTTACTTAAAGCCTCCCTTTTAAATATCATATTATTTAAAAGGAAGAATGTCAACTTCGTATACTACTTCCTGAGAATATGTTAGTGCTTAAATTACAAAACTAGGAAGTCAGTGCACAGGAGGTATGAGAATTTCAATCTGACTACCTGTAAAATCATCATCTGTAACCACCCACGACTTCTTTTAAAACAGTTTCAATTGTATGAGAGCGAACACCTTCAAGACAATGCCCTTGAGATCTTCATTAAATTTAGGCCTCCCTATGTCAGATCTTCTAGAATCCACTTTCAAATGTCCAGTTTATAAATGTAATTTTCAATTCCTTACACCCTATTCAAAACAGTATTACCAGGTGGTATTATTGCTGCACATTGTATTTCACTTCTGCCTTACTGAAGTGGTTAAGCTGCACATTTTGGGCACTTTAATATTCTCTTGTTGCTATCATTTTCAGTGAAAAAGATCAACCTCAAATTTCCAGCTGCAGGCAAGGAGCAAGGTAGATGGGAGAACTACACCAACTGTAGTGTTGATCTATCTTTATCCTACAGTTGCAAAAGTGACACTACTTCCACGACAGTGCTGAGACAGCAGGTTGTACCAACATCATTATCATCCAAAAAGCCACCGACAGTGCTCACCAGAAACAAAGCTCCTGAGAAAAAAATTAAGATCTCCAATTCAGAGTGAAACTCTGAGAAGATTTTATTATAGAACCTCTCCCGGCAAAGCCCAGATAAACCGAGTTTTGTTTGTTAAAAATGTCTTTTTAAAAAAAACCAAAACAGTTGCAACACTAGTTAAACTTCCCCTTGTTGCCAGTTGTACCGTGTCAGCTGATGTTCATCACTTTCATAGAGAAGCTTTCTAATAAGAGGACCTGCATGTTACTCCTCCCTGTCTTCACCAACAGTTCTGAAAATCAGCAGAAGTTCTTAACACATAAATGGTAAGTGCCTTCTTTTATACTTAAGCCGGAGTAAAACAAATTTCTATTGAAGTTTCTCTTAACTGCAAAGGTGCCACTGACCATTTCTTAAATATAGCTTCATTTTAACACGCTGCTTGCTTATGAGTGACACAACTTATGACAGTGAAAAGTTATGTTTCCAATGCATCTGCAGTGTAACCGATGCTTCTCTCTTTCTATTTGATCTAAACTTGTCACTGCTTATGCAAATCATGATGTCAGGCATTTCTATAGGAAAGCAACAAACAAGAAATCATAGCAGTAGAGAGGCTTCAAGATGTATTTGAAAGCACCATGTTTTAAAACTGGCCTTTTAAAATTGCTTCTTGCCCTGATAATATCAAACGGCAAATATGAAAACAGCTATTTTTGAAACTGCTAACATACTCTGCAAGTTTAATGCAATTGTATGGTCAGATAACACGGGATGTTAAAATACTTCAGACTGTCCTCTCAGTAGTTCAGATCCTGTATGTACATTAGGTCCTCCTAAGAATTTTACCTGAAGTGTTGCCATTTTCACTGCTGTAGCTGTATCACACACTTAAATGTAAATTTGCATTTTTAAGACCTAGCATGCAAATTGCATAGCCTAGACACAGACTTTGCCTAAAACCTACTTTAAGGTTATGCATATAGCAGAGTTTTCTTGTTGGTTTGTTTGTTGGTTTTTTTTTGTAACAATTGCCAGACAACAAAGTTCAGAGAACCAAAACCACTTCTGACATTTTTGTGAGATTAGGGGAAAAAAACCTTTCCTCTGTAAAAAAATAAAATTCTAAAGAAACTTTTTTATGGAGTCTTTTGTTGCTATGATAAACAAGTTGAAGAAAAAAATTTATCATTACAAATCAGTCTTAACCATCTCTCTAAACGGCATAGTGCACTCTGTTCTAACCACACACTTTTTTGGTTTTCCTTCCTTGGTCAAAACTGACTTTTATCTTCCAGATTGTACCTTCCTGGTCAGCAATAAGCTCAGTGAAATTAAAACCTTTGAAATGAAAACAAGGAAAACAATGAAAACAAGGAAGACTTGAAAACAATCTGTTACTGCATTAATGTAATTCCCAGTTAATACCAGTTTATTTGTGTAATACTGATGTGTGAACAGTCAAGAAAAGGAAAAAAACACTTAAATTTATATGAAGATATAGATTATTAAAGACAAGCTACTGTAATAGTACTGGCTCATGGTGTTATAACAGATTACATAGCCAAAGAAATATTAATTCACAACTGCTTTTCTAATTGAAAACTACTGACTCGCATGTGAGAGATCCTGGGTACTTATTTAAAACTAACACCAGTGAGTTTAGACTTGTTTTAATATATTTCTATGTACTTTATATCAACACCGAGAATACTTCACTTAGCTACACTTACCTGTCCTTGCATCTTAAAAAGTTTTCTTAGAAAGACTAATCCTAAAAACTAAACTTAAAAAAATTATTTGTACTTGCAGATAAATCAAAATAAATAAAAAAAAAAGATTTATTGACTGTGCAGCAAAACTTAATAGCTGATTTTTAAAACAGCACAAGACAGTAATACAGATGCAATTATACTACCAGTTATCTATTTGAGTACTCTATACCCTCTGTTCTTGCCTACATATTATTCTAGACTTACATTGTATCATGACATCTGGCTGCAAGTCCTTCTACTCAGCTACAGCAACACTTTGGCATATTTACTTCCTTTAGTTACTGCCTTTTATGTTTATATTATGTTAGACTGTATGCAATGAAGCAAACAGACACAAGAAGATGATCCTGTGGAGATCTAATTCTTAAAATTTCTCTTTGTTTCTTTACAGAACAGCTAAAAAACCCCCAAAAATGATGGCTGCAGCTTCAGCTGATTCACTGACACACAAAAACTTCTGGAGTAACCAAACCAGCATGGCCATAAATGCCTCAGAAATTCAAAACAATGACAGTTGTGCCTTAGACGACAACTCGCTGTCACTCACTTTGATAGTTTTTTATTCTATTATTTTTGTTGTTGGATTGGCTGGAAATATTACAGCCCTGTTTGCCTTCCTGTGCATTCATCAGAAAAGGAATTCTATCCAAGTTTACTTGCTAAACGTGGCTGTTGCAGACCTTCTGCTGATCTTCTGTCTTCCCCTCCGAATACTCCATCACGCCAACAAAAACATTTGGATGTTTGGACGGATTTTATGCAAGATTGTAGGAACTCTGTTTTACATGAACATGTATATTAGCATAGTACTGCTGGGACTAATCAGTCTAGATCGTTATATAAAAATAACTAAGTCTGTGAAGCGTCCTAAAATGTTAACTCCGACACGAAGTATTCAGATTTGTTGCGTCGTGTGGGCAATTGCACTGATAGGATTTACAGTAGTAGTTGCACCATCTTTCTTTAAGAGTGAGGACAGCAATTCTACTCTGTGCTTTCATTACCGAAGTAAACAGAAAGCAAAGACAGAAGCGATTTTAAATTATATCACTGTACTAATTTTTTGGATAGTTTTTTTCCTCTTGATCCTTTCGTACGTTAAAATCGCCAAGAACCTTCTGAAAATTTCGAGGAGAAGATCAAATTTTCCCAATGCAGGAAAATACACCAAGACAGCAAGAAATTCCTTCATTGTACTCATCATTTTCACTGTCTGTTTTGTTCCTTATCACATGTTCCGGTTTGTCTACATTACATCACAGTTACAAAACCCCTCCTGTTATTGGAAGGAGATCATTCACAAATGCAATGAGGTGATGCTCATATTTTCATCATTTAACAGCTGCCTAGACCCAGTTATGTATTTCCTCATGTCCAGAAGCGTCCGTAAGGCTGTATTCCAACTTATTTGCAGAAAAATTCATGGAGAGTCCAGCCTAAATACGGAAAGCACTTCGGACATAAAACTTGGACAATACACACAGGAGAGATTATCTACTATCACTCCCCACTCAAGTTATTCAAGGAAGAAGTTTGTGGTTTGACTGTTTAGATGAATGGATTTCTCTCTATTGCTCCAGGACATCGACTGCAGATCATGAAATGCTAAACTGTACAGCTACTAATCCTGCCTCTTTCTTCCTGGTCACAAAATGAGAAGTCTTGCTTCTGGTTGTGAAAACGAGAAGTTACTTTTCACAAGTATTTTGCTCTTGTTTATCCATGAAAACAAATTAGGAAGTTCTCGGACATCCTCTGTTGGACTAAACTAGAACACTAACTCTTTAAGGAGATTTCCACGAAGGGGTTTGAACCTGTATAAGGAATCTTGTATATATACAT